AACTAACACAATTTGATTATCAAAACATTTGTAAGACAGTAATGATTATAGAGGATTGTTTTTTCTGCTTGATTAATTCAAGAAAGAAAGTTCATCAGATGGTTCAGACTTATTCAGATCAATGAAAATAACAGTCTCTGTCCATCTGGTAGATTTGAGGTCATCTGGTTCACTACACTAGTCCCCGCCTACAGAGCTGGTCCAGAAATGTACATGGAAACACAACAGACCCGAACCGATCTGAACCAACCCGAACTGATCTGATCCGCTCTGTGACAGTGGAAAAGGGGCATTATATGTTTGGAGTGGTCCCTTTGACCCCAGTGGCCCTGAACCGCTCTGCGTTGCCACACAGCCCCCCCATCCCATGGAGCTGGCATCTGTCATGACCACTTCCCTGCGACACACTACCACTCCCATGGGGACACCCCTGGACAAATAATCTTCGTCCCTCCATGGAGTCAAGGCATGAAGACATGACCACGTCACTGCGAGCTTGCAATGCCTGTGCAGCCTGGCATCCAGGCGAAAGCTGTTGAGCCACCTCTGCAAGGGGAGAAGTGACAGCAGGCCTAAGGGCACCACCCGAGTGACTGATGTCAGCTTGCCGAGTAGTTGCAGGAAGGTAACATAGGGGAGCTGCCTGCCCAGCCTGAACCGACTGACCAGCTGGAGTATGCCGGCCACCCTTTGAGCGGATGGGCGAGCTCTCATGGAAGATGAATCCAGAACCACCCAACGAAAGGTGGTCGTCTGGGAAGGGATCAGGCAGTTCTTCTCCAGGTTGACATTGAGGCCCAACTGGGACACATGAGCGAGCAGGCAGTTTGTGTCGTGAAAGGCACAGGCCTGAGACGGGGCACAGAAAAGCCAATCGTCTAAATATGGCAGAATATTCACTCCGCAGGCCTGCAGAGGAGAGAGGGCTGCCTTCACGCACCGAGTGAACACCCTTGGGGAGAGAGAGAGCCCGAATGGGAGTACCCGGAACTGCCAGTGGTGACCTCGATAGGAAAACCTGAGATAGCGGCGATGTTCTGCCGCAATAGGCACATGAAAATACGCATCCTTCAGGTCTACAGACGTGAACTATTCTTTCCTTGTGACAGCTTGAAAGACTTCTGCTGTCGTGAGCATGTGGAAGGGCAGCTCCCTTAGGTACTGGTTGAGTCCCCTCAGGTCTAAAATGGGACGAAACCCGCCCGTCCTCTTTTGCACGAGGAAGTAAGTTGAGTAATAGCCCCTGGATTGTTGCAGAGAAGCAACCACCCATGGGTCCATGGCGTGAGCAGCCCAGTAACTGAGCTGCTGGTGGGAGAAATATCCGATGGTCGGCCTGATAGCATCACCGTCTCCCTTCACTGCCCCTAGGGCCGTGGGGGGGGGGGGGGGGGCAGCAGCCAGAGTCCCTGGTCCGAGCCTGCCCAGTTGATCGGTGGACCGACCCATGAAAGCTCCTGCTGGGCCTTTGCTGAACCACATGAGGGTAAAGCCGACGGGCGCCTTGGATGCCGAGGAGGTGGAGGGGGCATTGCCCTGCTAAGGCTTGAAAATTGCTGCCTTCTCTGTCGTGCCTGGACAGTCCGTTCCAGCGCTTCCAAGGCAGCCGAATCGAACAACTCCCCCGACACCACTGGGACATGAAGGAGGGTTCTACGGCATGGCTCAGTCAACGCTGACTGTGCCAACCAGACCTGTCGGCGAGCCTGGACCAAGGAGGACATCACGCGCCCAAGTTCCCTCGTCATTAGTGCAAAGGCCTGAAGCGTGCATCGCTAAAGCCCATTGCTGCTGTCGCACCACTAGTCCCCTGAAGGGACGCGGAGAGGGCAAGCATGAGGTGTGCCAAGGAATTACCTAAGCGGCCAGCACGCGGTCCGGCGGCATAGGCTCTGCAGAGGAATTCATCCGTGACACGACACTGAGCTCGTGGGCTCCGAACATGACTGCGCAGATCTTCCTCTGGTGACACGATGAGAGAGGCAAAAGCAGGTTCTATCGCTGGCATGCGATCCAAGCCTGCTGCAGCCGGCTCATGCATGGCCGCCAACACTCGGCCATCTGCGGAGAGGCGCGCAAAGGCTTTGGGATCCCGTCAGCAACCATGCAACTCCCTCAGGAATTCCTCTAATTGAGGGACAGAAAAGGAAGGAGGGGTCAGTCCGCTCCGCGCCTGAAGAAGGCACTTCCAGGTCCAAGCTGGGTCAATACCCAGAACCCTTTTGCTATGAGGCAACAGTGCCAACCACTAAGCCATTGTGCTGCCCAAACCCTGTTTTATATTAGACCAATAATCCTGGTTCTTGAATTTAAAGTTTCTAGTATCTAGGATTTTATTCATTTTTATCCAGCAGAAAGGTTTTAAAGTGTGAAGTCAAAAAACTGGGTAAAACAAAAACCTTGCAGCATCAGTACCAGCAGGTACAGGAAGCCGACCTTGGGACCCGAAAAAGTCCCAGGTTCGATCCCCAGCCATTCCCACATGTCGTGGTGTCTCTGAGCAGGACACCTCATCCCTAACTGCTCCCCGGGTGCTCACATAGCTGCCCACTGCTCGACCTGGGTGTATCTCAGGTGTGCTGGGTCAAATGCAGAGAACTCGTGTGTTCTCATACAGTGATGACAACACACAGCTACATACAGGAACGTTCCACTGACTGGAAATAAGACTCACTGATGATGGTTTCACAGTCCCACGTCTCCTGTGGAGCCTCCTCCACAACAACAGTCTCTGTCTCCTCTTCCTCCTCATCTTCCTCCTCCTCCCTCAAAGCAGGCAGTTCTTTTGGACCCAGATCTTCAGGTCTCAAGGCGCTGAGCCACAAACACAACAAACATCAGTCAGCTGCTATTTATATGAATAAAGCAAACACAAAGCAACAGATTCCAAACAAAAAGGAAATGGATCTTACTCCTTGGCTTTCTCCTTGAAATAATCTTTGATGACTTCCTCCAGGCGGTCGCTGTCCGGTACGATGAATCCTTCCAGCTCCGCATTGTCCAGAGCGCCGATTTCATCATCATCGAACTGTTCGTAAAACTGAAAGGACATCACAGGTGCTGGTGTGAGGCTACGGTCACTTTCTATCATCAGTCCAAGCTTGCTGAGCTTCTGCTGTTTGGGGCTGTGCTTTTATTTTTACAGAGGTGAACTTATGATTTTAATTATAAACTATCATTTTAGTTTTTCTGAATGGACACGATTCAAACATCAAGTTTTCAAGTCAGCTACTACAGACGCAGAAGATTTAATCCAGAGAAAAAACAACGTCTTGATTTTATTGAAATATTCTCATGAGACACCTCTCTGGAACACTAGCTGTCAATCTACAAGTGACTTTAACGTGCATCAGTGGAACAACCAGAACCCATTATTCATCGAAAAAAAATTAAATTAAATTTAAAAAACAGGAATCTTTTAAAGCCCGAGCTTCACAACATGATGTCTCACTTGTAAAGATGATTTATGGGCTATTGAATCTTAATCCTGGATTCTAAAAATTTTTATCTTTTTTTTTTTTTTTTTAACTAAACACAAGTTCTAAAATAAAAGCTTGGACTCATTAGTCTGTAACAAATCATAAAAACAGGATAAAAGATGTGATGACAGGCAAGAAAAGAGGCCACAATGTAAAATGACAAACAGTAACGTATGTGCAGGCAGCAAAGCTTTAACTCCAGCTCCTTTTTGTTTCTGTTCATGGGACTTTATTATAAATCCCAAAACTCCAGGGTTAGAGGCCACACTTACACTTACAGAGCCTCCTACTGTGGATCACAGAAACCTTGGCTTGATATTTTTGTCATTTAAAAAAGGGTAGTAAAACAAACTTTATGGGGAAACTGGATTAGAGTTGGCAAAAAGTCAAAGAGGAGCAACAAGGCAGATGAAATGGACTCTGTATCTTCACGTCTGCTCCAACATGCTTGAGGAGAAATCATCTCATTTCATAAAGTATAATAGTACATTTGAAAAGAATAAGAGTTGAACTGTTACATTTCTGTAACAAACGACACTGATAAGCTGCTCGATCAGGACTTGGACTGACCAAACATAAAACATTAGCTTATCATCATCATCATCATCAAGTGTACTGCTCCAGGAGAGGTTGGCACTCCTCCTGGTGACCACTCTGCACACATGAGAGCGCTGCACTGACGTATGCAACAGAAAACGATGAACAGAGCCCAGCACTTAAAGGTTGTATACATCCGTTTTACTCCAAACCTCAGATGCATCAAAGATGAAATGATCTCACTTTGTGTTGACTTCAAAGCTGGCATGCCCACATGCCTGCAGGTTCGTTAGCGAGACTCGAAGGGCATGCTGGGAAAATGATGAAAATGTAAAAGCAATTGCTGGATGCACCTGGGGGGTATACAAAGCCAGATTTCCTGCTTCACCAACTATGTTCAGCTGAAAATCAGAGTTTTTCATGCTGGAGGCTCTGTCTACACCACCATGGTAGAACTGTCAGTACGAAGCACTGCCCTGTTCACTGGTTCTGTTCTGATGGTCCCAGACAGAAAAACAAGACTGAAACTAATATATCATGGTTTTACTCTGCGCCGAGACACTTACAATAAACATCAAAATGTTAAATATTAATGAATAAAACAATACACCATCATCTTATTTCAATCTTTTAACATGTTGGGGCGGCACGGTGGACCAGTTGGTAGAGCTGTTGCCACTCAGTGAGAAGGTTGCCTGTTCAAATCTCTGCCTGGGATCTTTCTGGGTGGAGTTTTCATGTTCTCTCCATGGGAGAGATCTGTGGGTTTTTTCCGGGTACTCTGGTTTCTTCCCATAGACCATAAACATGCACGTCTTCATTTTTAAGTGAAATCACATTTGTACATAGTAATACAAATAAAAAACATGCAAAGTGAAATAAGAACTGCCCCTGCTCAGCTCAGACAAAACATTGTTGAAAAGTACAAGTTGGGATGGATGCACAAGGATTTCCAGGCCTTCAACGTCCCTAAGAGTTCTGTTGTTTCCATCCTCAGGCTGTGACTACAGGACACGTGTAAATGTACCAAGAGCAGGCAGTCCTCACTGACTGAGTGACTGTCCAACAAGGAGCAGAGCGAGAGACACCTGCGAGCACTCTGAAGGAGTTACCAGCTTCAGCAGGTGGTGTCGGGCTTCTTCACCAGTCTAAGCTTCATGGGCGGCTGGCATAAAGAAAGCCACTGTTCATGAAAACTCTTTCAACACTAGAGCCGGCTGCTGAGAAACACCTGACCACGGAGTCTTCCACATGGAAGATAACACGTGATGGATGTCATCAGTGCTCCAGCACCAGGAAGAACTATAACGATAAATAAATATTGTTAATCTCATTTTTCTGTCCAGAATATTTATCACAATCAGACACAGGGCTGCACTGCTTACTGACAGTACACCAGATCTTTACCATGGTGACTGCTCAAACAGATCGTTCTGTGTAATAATGAACATTCAGCATTTTAGCTCGACAGACAGAACATTTGGAGGGTAGTAGCAGCAGAGGTCAAAGGAGGCAAACCTGGGATCAATTCAACTGATGGGACGGACAGAGGGCCCTGTCTGCACATGTAAAGAGTCTACTTCTGAGATGAGGTTGGCTTGAAACAGCAGTGAAGGCTACCTATGGAACAGACCTGGATGGCAGGCCACAGACTGAGGAAGTCCTCTGGATGGGGGACTAAAAGATTCTCACTTAAAAGAAACTGGTCCAGATGACGTGATTTAACCTTTTTGTTGTTATCTACCTGGATTGGTTGAGCTTACAGCCTTTTTTCAGTTCATTTCAGTTTATTTCTATAGCTCCAAGTCACAACAGAAGTGGTCTCGGGGCACTGAATCAGAATCAGAATAAACTTTATTGGCATTGCATCGAGATACAACGCAAATATGTACGTACAGTCATCTGAAGATGGGCGGAGTGCACGGAGCTACAGCTAAAATAATCAGCGCGGCCTCTTATTCTTATTCAGAATAATATTTTGCTTAGATAAGAAAAGGAAAGAAAACATGAGGAGAGACGGTATAAAAAAAGATCTCTCACTCCGTGTCCTAGACAGGGCACAATTTGAGGCATCAAAAAAAACTACCACAGCAAAGCAACATAAACAGACGTTATACATGAACATATAGGCGGTGAAAACATTGAATTTTTAAGGGAACGTCATAGCATAGTCCAGAGCCCCCGCTCAGCCAGCTGAGCAGAAACATTCACATACATAAAAAAATAGTAACGACTATTTAAGCCAGAAGAGTGCGCTGAAGCTTCTGTTTGTCTCAGTCTCCCATCCTGAGCAAGCACAGTGGCAACAGTGGAAAGAAAAACTCCCTTTTAACAGGAAGAAACCTCCAGCAGAACCAGACTCAGGTCGAGCATCCATCTGACCGGCTGGAGTTTGAGAGGACATGAAGGAGAGACAGACGAACATAAAATGACTGGTCCAGGTGAACTTTCTATAGGAGGAAAGACAAAAAACACATGTTAAGATAGAAATAATTACAAACACTAACAGGTAGAGTAAGTAAAGACAGCAGCAGAGAGAGGAAATGTGGTCAACAGATCAGGACACATTTGAATTTGGGTGGGAAAGGTAAAGCACCCACATCTGACTCCACCATCATCTGCCCCACTCTGGGTCCTTGAGCAAGGCCCTTAACCTCCCCCCCGGCTGCTCAGACGCTGTAATGACAGTCCTCTGCTTCACATGTGGACTGCTAAAGAAACAACAACAACAAAAAGCCACAATTACCAAGTGTTAGTGCGTGCTCGTTCCCTGAGGAAGGGAGTAGCCCAAAGAAGACACATAATTAGTAAAGCTTGCTTTATGTACCCTTCAGGTGTTCAATAATCCCAGCTTCCATACATACAGTGGGGCAAAAAAGTATTTAGTCAGCCACTGATTGTGTAAGTTCTCCTACTTAGAAAGATGAGAGAGGTCTGTAATTTTCATCATAGGTACACTTCAACTATGAGAGACAAAATGAGGAAAAATAATCCATGAAATTTATTTGTAAATTACGGTGGAAAATAAGTATTTGGTCAATAACAAACGAGCAAGATTTCTGGCTCTCACAGACCTGTAACTCTTCTTTAAGAAGCTCTTCTGTCCTCCACTTGTTACCTGTATTAATGGACCTGTTTGACCTCGTTATCTGTATAAAAGACACCTGTCCACAGCCTCAAACAGTCAGACTCCAAACTCAACAATGGCCAAGACCAAAGATCTGTCGAAGGATACAAGGAAGACAATTCTAGACCTGCATCAGGCTGGGAAGAGTGACTTTACAATAGGCAAGCAGGTTGGTGTGAATAAATCAACTGTGGGAGCAATTGTAAGAAAATGGAAGACATACAAGACCACTGATAATCTCCCTCGATCTGGAGCAACATGCAAGATCTCATCCCATGGGGTCAAAGTGATCATTAGAACGGTGCGCAAAAATCCCAGAACTACACGGAGGGACCTGATGAATGACCTGCAGAGAGCTGGGACCAAAGTAACAAAGGCTACACAGTATGCAGAGAGGGACTCAAGTCCTGCAGTGCCAGGCGTGTCCCCCTGCTTAAGCCAGTACACGTCCAGGCCCGTCTGAAGTTTGCCAGAGAGCAAATGGATGATCCAGAAGAGGAGTGGGAGAATATCATGTGGTCAGATGAAACCAAAATAGAACTTTTTGTTCAAAACTCAACTCATCGTGTTTGGAGGAAGAAGAATACTGAATTGCATCCCAAGAACACCATATCTACTGTGAAGCATGGGGGTGGAAACATCATGCTTTGGGGCTGTTTTTGTTCAAAGGGGACAGGACGACTAATCCGTGTTAAGGGAAGAATGAATGGGACCATGTATGGTGAGATTTTAAGCCAAAACCTCTTTCCATCAGTGAGAGCATTGAAGATGGAACGTGGCTGTGTCTTCCAGCATGGCAATGATCCCAAACACACCGCTTGGGCAACAAAGGAGTGGCTCCATAAAAAGCATTTCAAGGTCCTGGAGTGGCCTAGCCAGTCTCCAGACCTGAACCATATATAAAATTTGTGGAGGGAGTTGAAAGTCCGTGTTGCCCAGCGACAGCCCCAAATCATCACTGCTCTAGAGGAGATCTGCGTGGAGGAATGGGCCAAAATACCAGCTAGAGTGGTGAAGACTTACAGAAAATGTTTGACCTCTGTCATTGCCAACAAAGATTATGTTACAAAGTATTGAGTTTAACTTTTGTTATCGACCAAATACTTATTTTCCACTATAATTTACAAATAAATTCTTTAAAAATCATACAATGTGATTTCCTGGATTTTTTCCCCTCATTTTGTTTCTCATAGTTGAAGTGTACCTATGATGAAAAATACAGGCATCTCTCATTTTTGTAAGTAGGAGAACTTGCACAATCAGCAACAGACTAAATACTTTTTTGCCCCACTGTATTATTATTATTATTATTATTAGATATTCTCCAAGCATCACCAACGCACAAAACCTGCATACGCCAGCTATGACATTGGAACAAAGTTGCACACATTTCCACGGGCAGTTTTTATTCCTTTCATTGCTGACTCTTTAGAACTTCTGCATGAAAAACAACTTGACGCTTTTTGTGCGTACACTCTGTTGCACGTGATTTGAAGTCAAATCAGGTTTATGTTCAGCTCCACGGAACCTGCAGCAGCCGCAGTGCTTCAAGAAGACGTTAGAGTATTAGTACCTTTTCAAAGCGATCGTCCAGCAGGGTGAGCTGCTCATTCCTCCTCATGACAGAAGACGACAGAGAGTACTCTGTAAAGCGACTCTTCGTCTCCTCGTTCATGAACAGAAACTCTCCACCTTCTCCTTCAACGTGCTCGTCGCCTGAAAAACCGCCCTCGGAGTCAAAGTCGTCTTCTTCGTCTGTGTCCTCCCACTCGTCATCGTCGTCATCATAGTGTCCTCTGTCACATTTTACACATAAAGCAAAGCTTAGAAGTGAAAGATTATTATAAACAATGCAGTTAACATTTAACATCATAATAAGACATTTTAACCATAGCTCTTTGTGCAGTTCATTACTGAATCAATTTAACGTCATAAACACCAGTATTATCACTAGAAATACGAAAAAAAACAATCTTAGTGAAGCATTTATGATCCAGCAGTGTTAGTTACTCTAAAGATTCCCCAGTCAGCCATACGACAGGAGAAAATGAAGAAACCACCACTGCACATTGTGTATTATTGTGTGTGGTGCCAGTACATCAAGTGTTTAACCCTGCCACAAATTAATGTAATATATATATATATATATATATATATATGACACACAATAACCACGGCACTTTCTAACACTTTGACCTTTCTGGTCTTACTCTGCATCTACAGCTTCATCTGCACTGGTTGCTTTCACAATGAAGTCATCCTCCAAGATGTTTTCAGGATCACCGTAGTCAAAGTCCTCATCAAGAGCAGCAACAATATCAGGGTCCATGTCCAGTCTGGGCCCTGTGAGGACAGTGACAGAAGACACAAGGACTTGGTGTCAGCTGTAGGAGACGGTGACATCACAGTGGCACCATGAAAGACGGTACCAGTAAACACTTCGACCCACCTATGCTAAATGACTTTATACCAAGTGTGCAGCCAAGAAATGTACTGATGATGCTGTCTAACATCACACACAGCCAGAACCCTTCTGAACCGAGTTACCTGAAACTGGTGCAGCTTTGTTCAGAAGACCCACCTCTTCTTCAAATTCTGAGGCAAACACTGAAGAGGGTAAGTGGATTGTAGTTTCCTGTTCATAAAAGAAAACAAAAAACAGTTTAGAGCACCTTTTCTGTGTTTTCTTTATTTTTTTTAGAGCCACAACTTCACCAAAAGTACACAGGATCAGAAATATCAGCATCTCTACATTAACTTGTTTATTAATCATATATTCATTCACTGAACCTTTATTTATCCAGGTTAGTCTCATCGAGTCACGAGGACCCATTTTCAAGAGAGACCTGTTTTAGACAGACAACAGATAAGGTACAGACAAAAATAAACAAACAACAATAAAACTGAACATTAAAAATAAAAAGTGGTGTTATGAAACAATAAAATCAAGGTGCCTTATAAAACGTGGTAAAATACTACAAACAAGAACATATTTGCTTTGATTTGTCTATTGAACTTATCAAGTGTTTAAAATCCATTAAGGAAATCAAAGAGGACAACTTCATTTCCTGTTGCAAGATGTTCCAGGTGCAGGAGCTGAGTAGGAAAAGTCCTTTTTGCCAAGTTCAGTCTGAACTGAGGGAACGCTGCAGGTAATGATGTCCTGAGAGCGCACGCTGTAACTGCACTGACAACATGACATGTGGGAGGAGATGTATGAAGGTAGCAGACCAAGGAGGGATTGATAGATGAAGATGTACCAGTGAGAGAGCCTACATGTAGATAATGATGACCAACTGACCAGTGAATACTGGGTGCAGTGATGGGTACGATAGTTACAACCAGTTATGAATCTTAGCGTGCCATGACAGACAGCATCCAACATCTGTAAGGAACTGGCATCATTCATGTAAATAATGTCACCGTAGTAAGTGGCCGGTAGGAAGGTAACAGTTACAAGTTGTTTTCTGGCATTCAGAGTTAAACAAAATCTATTTCTGAAAAACAAACCCAGTTTTAATTTCAGTTTCTTTATCAAGTTTTCAACATGTTGTTTAAAAGAGATCGACCAAAGTTCCCAAGTATTTGTAAGAATCTACAAACTCAATAGGAGCACCATGCATGGATGAGAGAGGAGGAAGAGTTGTTGGCACCGACTTTCTGTTGGAAAACAACATCTCTTTGGTTTTGTCAGCGTTTAGCACCAGTTTGAGACGGAACAAGTCCGACTGGATGATGTCAAATGTAGACTGTAGAAGCTGGAAAACATTGGCAACTGTGTTAGCTCAGGAATAAACAAAAATGTCATCAGCATAGAGATGCAAGGAGGTGTCAGGAATGATCTGACCTGCATTAATTATATAAATTATAAAGAGAGTGGGTCCTAAGACTGAGCCTTGAGGTCCACCATTAGTGACACTTACATAGCTAGAAGTACTACTATTGTGTTGAACACATTCAACCTGAGAGATAGTTAGAAAACAAACAGTGTGATCTGAGAAACCAATATCTGAGAGCTTATGGCATAAGATGTCATGATCAACGGAATTAAAAGCTTTGGACAGGTCTAGATAATCCTTACAATCCAATGCTTCTACAACATCATCAAATAAAATAAATTAAATATATAAACTGAACATAAGGTAAGCCACCTAAAGTTCTAAATTTGGCGATATCTTCATAGATGGAATGAATGTTCATGTTAACTCACAGGAACGTCACTGTCCACAGTTCTCTCCACCTCATCTTCATCCTCATCATCTTTGAGCTGAAAGGAACCTCTGTCCAGGTTTGAGGGTTCAGCTGCAACCAGCTCTGAGAGAGGAGACGGCTCTTTGAGGTGCTGCAGGTAGTCATAATCATCATCGAAGAAGACACCAAACTTTCTCTGCTCCTCGCGCCTCTCCTCTGCATCCACCTGGACAGCACAGGTAATGTAGCCACAGGTGTGGAACGTGCACCCTCCGCATCCATTTAAAGCACATATACCAGCTATTAGGGGCATTAATCTGTACCTTTGTGGCCGGCAGGAGAACATGTTGTGGAGCCTTCTCATCTGCAGCCAGAGGGTCCCTCTGACTTCTGTGTACAAGGTGAAAGGTCACGGCTTTCTTCTTTTCGATAAATGATTTCTTCTTTCGATGAGGCTGAAACAGATTTATACAACTGTCTAAATGTCTGCAGAGCAAACTAATAAACCCCACAGATTTTAAATATCCAATGTTACTGATTTTAAAACACTAAGCACATTTTTTTAGGCAAAATTATTTTGTAATTCTGTGTTAGAAAATTAATATTTTATATATTTCATGTCTCACAAGTCATTGAAAGCTTTTTTTCCTGTTTCTGTACTCGATGTTCTAATAAAATAAATGCAATGCTCATTGAATTATCTTATATTTAACTCGCAGAGGAAAGTAAACCACTCAAATAACAGCATGTTGTTAATATTTAATAACGTGTTAGATTTTTTCATTACTTGAAAAGGAGACAAGAGAAACTGTTTTTCTACAACGCAGGAGGGAAAAAAAGACCAGGTCAGTGTTATTGTCTATTTCCCACATCTATAAAGTTTAAAACACCATAAAACTTACCCACAAAACGTCCAAACAACATTTAAACAACTTACTCAATAACATACGTTTGTTATCACAAGCTAGCAGCTGTTAGCTAACACGGTTAGCTTAAGGTCAAATTTGTTATCTTACCATTGTGTAATAAAACTTCTGACGACGCTTCTACAGTAAAAATGTAAGAATACTATAACTTGGACTTTTGTGGATACTTGCTCAGAACTGTAACCAAATAAATCCCAAACCTAATGCTGCTAATGTTCATCCACGTTGAACACACTTCTGCTAATGCTAATATTGGATCAGAGACTAGGACGGAGTGGGAGGAGCGATCTGCTGTGATTGGTGGATACTGTCAAAGAAGGCGTGGAGTCTTAAGAGAACTCAGCTCTGATTGGTAGACAAATGTTGTGCCTGTCAGCTGATCCAATCTGACAACAGCTTCAGCATGCTGTTTCATAGCGGTGGGAAGCCAAATTGTTTGAGCATTACCGCCTCCAATCGGTATGGAGTGGTTTTGCATGAAAATAAATTTGAATACTCAGAGTACCACATAGATATAAACACTAGATCCCTCATGGCTGCTGCGGCGCAGGATTTTCGGCCGCCATCTTGAAACGGTCGTCCTTATTTGGTTAAAGCAGAAGATGTTTCAACACTTCGCAGCTTATTTCTGTTCAGATCGACGGACTGTTGACGTCAGGTCTCGGGGGATAACTTCTCACAGTAAGATGAACATATTATTGTTAGTATTTTGTGAATATAATATTACTGTACTGTATTTATGTCCACCAGCTGATGTGATGTTCAGTGTAACACGGTGTTCAGCTGCAATGAAGCTGACTGAGATCTGATGACAGGAATATTTTGCTAACAAGCATACTCACTATTTCAGCAGCTTTGGTTCATTATCAACAGATATGCATCAAAACTGGAGTTTTGTTTAATTTCTAGGATATAAAAAATAAAACTAGGGAGAATATAGGAAATAGAAAATAAGCTTGACCTCCTCTGTACAATGTTTTTGTGTAGACACAAATGTCCTGTTTTCATTTTGAAGGTTTCCCAAAGAACAAGATGTGAGGAAGAGGAGGAAGTATCTTTGAGGAGGATTCATCTGAGCAGTGAGGATTTTAAACTGGAGGATTTTGATCAAACTGGTCAGACTGTCCGACTGAGAGATGGTGTGGTACCATGGGTTCACCTTCAGAGAGTAGGAGCATCATTATAAGTTCATTAGAGTTCATAAAGTTACATATTTTATTGTGAGTCACCAGGTGAGACACCTCCATGTGTTTCTATGAACAGGTAACTAGAGACTGTAAAGTTCATCTTCATGATGCTTTTTCATTTCAGCTTGAAAACTGCAGGACTACAGGAAGTGAACAAAAGCTGCAGCTGCTCTGTCTGTGCACGCTCAGGAACGTGCACGTCACACACACAACCTCAGGAACGTGCACGTCACACCACTCAGGAACGTGCACGTCACACACACAACCTCAGGAACGTGCACATCACACACACAACCTCAGGAACGTGCACGTCACACACACAACCTCAGGAATGTGCACGTCACACACACACTCTCAGGAACGTGCGCGTCACACACACAACCTCAGGAACGTGCGCGTC